AAACACACACACCTCGAAAGTGCAAATACTCTCAGTTGATGCCAGTCCTCTATCTGAAATGGAGGTTTCCCGGGAAATAAGTTATCTCAAAAGATATAAGGCCTCTGACCCAGATGGGCTGTTCCCATCAGCGATTGAGGATGGAGGCTCAGAGTTGGCCTGGGAGCTGACGAAACTCTTGGGCTCAATATGAGAAGGGGAACAGGTTCCGACTGAATGGTGTGAATCGGTAATCTTCCGATTTACAGGAAAGGTGACAGATCCTCTTGTGAAAACCACAGAGGAATTAGTTTATTCAACACTGTTTCTAAACTTCTCGCTGGTATCATACTCCGTTGATTGTCTGCCGCACGTGAAGAGTGCACGCGTGAGAACCAGGCTAGCTTTAGACCTGGTCGAGGTTGGATCGACCGTACCTTCACTCTTCGTCAAATTCTAGAACACAGATACTCCTATGTAGACCCACCACCTCTGTCCTCCTCGATCTGAAAGCGGCTTTCGACTCAGTCGACCGCTCTAAACTCTGGCGCTGCCTTTCCCTGAAGATTGTGCCCGAGAAGTTTATTTCAATATTACAATTCCTTTATACTAATAGCCGAAGTTGAGTCCGAGCTTACGACACTTTTTCGCTCGAGTTTACTGCGGAAAGTGGTGTTCGTCAGGGTTGCCCCCTCTCTCCGTTTCTATTCAACTTTGTTATAGATTTGATTGTGGAAACAGCCTTATCCTCGTGCAAGGATAGTGGCACCGATTTGCTCCCAGATGGTAGACTGTCTGATCCGGAGTATGCAGACGACAATGTGCTGCTAAGTGAAGATCCAGGTAAGCTGCGAGCTTTTCTGGATAGCTTGAGTGCCAGCGTAGTCATATTCGGGATGCATTTCGCACCTTCAGTGTATAATGTTACTAAAAGACTGGGTTGGTCTAGCACCCAGACTCACTCGAACTGAGGAAGTAATAGAGCAAGTGGAGAAGTTGTTATTTAGACAGCTATATCTCACGCGGTGGACGCATGACGAATGAAGTATCAGCTGGCATACAGAAGGCTCGATTGGTATTTGCCAACTCAAGATACCTGTGGCGCCGCCGAAACATCCGGCTGTCCGCTTAGGACAGAGTATATGCTATGGCATTTCGGCCAGTTCTGCCATACAGCGCAGACTTAGCCATTAAGAAGACAGGATAAAGATAGATTGTCGATGTTTGAACACCGCTGTCTGTGCAGCATGGGGCGAATCTGATGGGGAAACCGGCCGAGCAGTGCTGAGGTTAGGCGCAAAGTTTTGGGTAACCGCGATCGCTAACCTTTTTATGACACAATTACGTGTGATAAGCAGCAGACGGGGCGAAACCCATAGCCACGGGGACCTGCTGTTCAGTGGCAGAAACCGGCAACCTAAGCCCCGGGACTTGGAGTGGCGAACCACATAAGGCCCCGATAGGCTAGGCGTGGTATTTAACCGGACGACAGCAGAGCTGCCTACCACCAAAGTTGGGTGGCGATGGCAGGGCTCGAACCTTGGGCCGTAGGGTCCAAAGCACACCAGTGACAGCGACTAAACCAATGCGCCATCACTAGAGTAAGTGGCCGACCGCTATAGATTACGTTGGTTGGGGGATGTGTTACGCATGTCACCAGATAGGTTGCCACGGCGAGCGATGTTTGCCGAGGCAGGTAATGGGTGAAAAACGGTCAAGCTAATACCTGGCGCGATGGTATGAAAACCCTAACCATGAGACTTGATCATCATCATCGTACAGCGAAATACAGTGAAGTGAACTTCACTGATCGCTGCCAAACTCATAATGCATATAAGATTAGTGGTAAAATTTAAGGTGGGATTGGACCTACTTCGAGGGAGGGAGAAGAAAGTGAACCTCTATGGTCAACACAGAGTGCACAATCGAACTCTGCATACATACCGTTTCAAGCGTTCTGGCCTGATAAGAAATGACAACAAGAAGAGAGACTTGATCACATAGGTCTATCAGACTCCCTGGTTGGCAGTTAGGGACAATAAGTGATATGGTTGTTGTAGACAATGCTGTTCATGCATCGTCCCAGTTTCTTTGCAACCTTAGTTCACTGGAGTTCACCATTTTCTCTTCCACTGTACTTTCAACCTTCCTGTTTTTCTTCTACTTCATCCAAATGGGCGACTAAAAGACAACAACCAAAACCGGTGCACGAAAATGCATGGTTAATGGTTGTGCAAACTGAGAGCGATTACTGGAGCAATGAATCCTATGATTATATGAGAACCCGCGCATTTGAAACAAAAGGATTAGGAATGTAAATTTCCCGAGATAACTTTACATGACTAGTGAAACCTCTACCAGAGAACCTTTGGTAAAACACGTAGGGTACTGAGAAAGAGCAGCAACATTCTCCGTTTAGAGAATTTCAGGTTCATTCCATGGCCTCAAAATCTCTCGAATGAGGTTTAATTAAAATGCATTATTTGATATCCTAGAGATTAAATAGCATATGGACGAATCTGATTGGTCTGTAGAGTTCTGAATACTGATGCAGTTTACGGCACAGAGTTTGAGGTGAGGTCCAAGGTGCTAGAATTTGACAGTGGAACCCTGGCGTTTTTATCAGTGCTGACCACATTAAGATGTGTGAATGCACAGCAAAGCAATGGATTAATGGTACCATGTCACTTTTCTGATTCAATATAGAATAAGCACATGTATTTTACTTCATGATGATGGTTGATGACGTCATAATGGTAAAACGGAAACGTGCGCAAAAGTTTACCACATGCAACATTCTCTACATTGATTCAACTCGATGGTAAGGGTTTCAGCAGGCATATGTACTTATTTAATGACTACGAGTCTTATCACTAGCGAAGTCACAGACAATTACCTTAATGAACGAATTAACAAAAAATATCGTAAAAAAGCGGTTTTCGCACACCACCGCACTGCCTTGCGGGCCAGGTTTTGGCTAGTCAAAGGCTCCGGTCGTGTATTCCTCAAGCAAATTCACCTGCCTTGGCTTGGGCAACCTGGCAGCATTCGGCCCACATGCAAATCATGTGACGTTTTTCTTTTTTATAAAGATTATTGTACCATGGATTGTTTGGCACAGTTTGACGTCGGACTTGTGTGAAATATATCGTAAAAAAGCAACCACAAAACGGAGGTATCTTTCCTCTTTTGGAATACAACTTTTTTGGTAGTTTGCGCAATGAACATCTGGCTGGAACAATGTTCTACTCCCACATCCCAGAACGACAATGATAAATATACATATATCTAACACCAATCTTTACAGATACGGCGCCGAAAACAACTATGTATCAACTTTACAACGATAAGGTTGATTCATGAAATTAATGCATTCAGTTTTCGCTGCGTACAATGCAGTCCAGAGTTATAACTTTGACCTACGACACACTAACACTACAAACCAGCAAACTGAAATTATCGTGGCTACGTGCGAGTAATGCAACGGTTAATGAAAACTCACCGGAACACATGCAAACATAGGGCTTTGTGAAAGCATGGCCAGTGCACCGAACTTAGGTGACGTTGGTGTCTGTAAATCCGCACCAGAAATATTGTCTGCAAAAAGGAGTCTACCAACAGTTCGTGGTACATGCTCCGGTTTAGGGGCTTTCAAATCCAATGAAATAGGAGGATAATACTGAGGAGTTTGCATAAAATCCATGGGCTCATTGAAATCAGGGATACTCTGAATACCAGGATTTCTGGCACAATGAGTTACGAAAGTTCGGTGCATCATGGTGTTATCGGCTGTTTCAGAAAGTGGTTTTTCTTGCAATATATCTGTGGCAGATATACCGAAGCGTGTATTATCGGCAGGCGGTTTGTCTGGGTTGACATTTTCCCGGCTGCAAATGGTTTCCAGCTTTTCTTTATTCTCCTGTGCTTGTTGAATTAGGGAATGATACAGTTCTGTATTTCCAACAGACTCAAGGGCCTGAGAGAGAACCTTGTATGTGGGAGTTGGTAAGCAAGAACCCTCTGGTATTTGAAAGACAGTGGATGGATTCGCGTATTCCCCAATGGCACACAAGTTCTTAAAAGCGCTCCACATGAGAGGATTGAGTTCAAGACATTTCTTATAGCATTTTCCAGCTTCACTCATTCGACCTTGACGACGATTAATATCTCCTAGTAAGAGAATGGCGTATGCTGCTTGTTCGTCATAAAATGAAGAGAATTCATCCAGAGACTTTTGTGTTAACGAGGGACCGAGTAGGGCTTCTTCCGCTTCCGTGAGGAGCCCAAAGTCATAGTAACATTTTGCAAGCAAATACCTGAGAACGTGATATTTCATTTACTTGTATTACCTGCTCTTTTGGGTAAGAGACTTTGCTGAATTAAGCAGGCGGCTGACTTGTTTGGGTCGCCCTATTCTGTAGAGACTAGTGGCGAGTAGGTACAGACTTTCACTGCTGTTGGTTTCAGCATACAACCTCTCCGCAGCAAAAAGTGCATCCTCGTAAGCATAATTATGCAGACAGGACCATACATGAAGCATTACAGGGTCGGTAACGATACTTAACTCGCGAACCATTGTTCTATTTAGTGTAGCGCTCCCGAACTGAACCCACCGCCGGGTTTAGGTCAAATTCAGTTAGGTCAGACCAGTTCAGTTCAGTTCAGTTGCACAGGACGAATATGGCTCTTGCCAATCGAGCGTCCA